CCCCCCCCCTAATGGGTTTGTTTTATTTTTATTTTATATTGTAACATGGGACAGAACTGGTATCTAAATTTAGAAACGTTGTTCTGGAACGAGTGAAGATTGCTGGTCCAGGGTCCGTGTGGGTCAGGTCCAGTGCCTCCCTCATGACATCTGTAGGAAGAATAAAAACTTCTGTCATTTACTTCACTGTGTCTCTGTGTGTGCGTGTGTGTGTCTGTCTCTCTCTGACTCTTTCTTTTTACTTTTTTCTAGATATACCTTATTCTCTCTCTCTCTCTCTCTCTTCTCCCCCAAGTCCCCACCCCCCAACCCTTGCCAAGTTTGCTACAATGTGAATGCACAAGCCTTATTTATTTGAAGCCTGCCATTATCTGTGTGTTATGTATAAAATCTCTCTCTCTCCCTCTCTCTGACATCTGTGTGTTATGTATAAAAGCTCTCTCTCTCTCTCCCTCTCTCCGGCATCTGTTTTCACTTTATCATGTTTATTCTGCGAGTTGCCTAAATCTAGGTTCACATTTGCCGACTTTCTAGAGAGGTAGAGATCTCCTTGTGTTGCGTGACAGACAGTTGATGAGCTAAACTTTAACTACTTTAAGTGCCATTTTACAGCATTTCTTTTTGTGTGTGTGTGGTTGGCTCCAGTGTGGTTGGCTCTTTCTCTAGTGACGTAACTAGTCTTCAGCACTCATCTATGACCTATCTGTGTTGCAACTGCTGTAAAATATTTTTACTCAAAGTGAAATTAAAAAATGTTTGCGAGTGAGTGTGTGTCGGTGCGAGTGTGTGTCGGTTGTGTGTCGGTGCGAGTGTGTGTCGGTTGTGTGTCGGTGCGAGTGAGTAACCGGTTGTGCTTTGGTCAGTGGGCGGAGGGCGCGTGTTTCTCTGTGCACCTGTGTTGTTGAGTTGTATTTTTATCCTAGTTTGAGAATGTTCTTTTGCCACTGGTCCAGGGTTGTTCACCTGTACAGCCAGCCTTGTGTGTTGCCGGTTTCTTGTTACTATTATTATCATCATTAGTATTCATATTATTATTCCTATTCTTCCCCCATGTTCACAGCTTGGCTGCTCTTCGATGGTTATTCACATAGTTACTATTCTTATTTCTATTATTATAATTGTTATCTTTATATTACGGTACATTATTATTGTTTTCTCTACTGCTCTCCTATATTTAGACGGTTAGATCACGGTTAGATCACGCGACCATGGACAATAAATGTACTCTGGCTACATGCTCTTCATGAAACCACCAGCTTTTGATCTTGTTTATTTGGGGGGGTGGTTGAAGGGCGCTACTGTCGTTTCCCTCTGTCGTTTCTGTCTGTCGTTTCCCTCTGTCGTTTCCCTCTGTCGTTTCCCTCTGTCGTTTCCCTCTGTCGTTTCCCTCTGTCGT